CAGAGATGGAACATACAGATGAGTATGAATTCACAAGATGTTACACCAGATGTTTTGAGTGATTAGAAATAAGCAGCAACTGAGAAAGTGAGTGGAATCCTGATATTTTGTTAAAGAAGTCATGAGAGACTGGTTGGAGAAGTTTAGAATGAATAAAAAGGATAATAGGCAAATGGTGGGGAAAGGAGGAATGATTGGTAACATATTACCACTAATTTTAGAAGTGCTAAAGAACTGAACTATGGGTCTTGAAAAAAAGGTTTTGTCTTATTGGAAAACGTAATAATCTGGCACTCCTCTCTTTCAAAGAGAGTGTAAGATCACACACTGGTAAGATTTTCAGCAGACTAGAAATCTAGTAGGTTCCAAAATACTGTTCCCTGTTTTTTAAGTTATGGGTTCATGAGTCTTGTCCTTGTTGACATTTGTTCCTCAGAAACATGCTAAAATAGTCCCAGTGAAAGAAAATAGTTTGAAGCCAGCAAATTAAACTACCATAAACTAATATTAAAGTACCAGGAACCAAAGGTGGGGACTTAACACTGAAAATGTGAGGAATTTAAATAGCAGGAATATATAAAATACTTCATTAATTCTGTTTCAGCTAATTTTTCATCTCAGATTTGATGTTTCATCTCAGATTGAAGTTCCATATTCTCATATGGAATTTTCATTTATATATGTAGATCAAATATCCCTATAAGAATGCAGCACCAAAACCTTGTTTACTTGTTCTGCCTTTATTTTGCACATATTTTATTACATATTTTTCCCTTGCTAAAACAAGAAAACTGCTGAAACAAGAACTTGCTTATCTACTAAATCAACATCTTGAAAGTTTTAGGTGGCAAGGTCTGCAGATAGCAGACTGAAGCCAAGACAACATTTTCTTACATTACCACAAAAACTTTTATACTTCCTTTTCTATCAGAGATCTCACAAGATCTCTGTGTTTTCCTGACAAACAGAAGCTATGCAGCTGTAAGTAAAATGATAATTGGAAAGATAACGTTAGTATTATTCAGGCATCTCTCTCAAAGCAGCTTAGTCATATGCTGTATGGAATAAAAACAGGATTGGCTGAGTAAGGGAATTTACTGTTTCCCAGGAAAGGAAATTGCCTGCAACACATCTGGCAAAACGTTCTAAGTGCTTAGTTTTGACAAAATATATATTTCAGCTCTTCTTATAAGGTGAGCGCTGTAGAGTGGGTATCTTCTTTCTAAAAAGGGAAAGATCCAATTTGTACTTTAAATATACCAAGCCACTATTTGCTATTTTATGTCAAATACTATATACTGAGCTATGAAGCAAGCAGGAGACCACAGGCTAAGCTGTGATATTTGAGTTTGCAGTACAAATGTATCATGAATGCAAACACAACACTCCATATAGGCAGCAGAGATAAAAGATGAAGAGAACCAAGAACATGAGAAAAAACACCGAAAGGAAGCAAGTGGGCTGAACTATGATTTTTTACTCAGTTTCGTACTGGCATGTATAAGATTCCATGCCAAATTATTTAAATTCCTTCCTATTTCAACACATCTAACAATGAGATGTTCCTTCTCATAACTGCTGTGAGACACATCTCTGTCATTCAGCTTTTCTGCAATAAGCCCTGCCCTGCAAGCAGACTTGTTATTATGCCTCTGAGGCTCAGTAAAAAGGCTGTATGCAGGCATCTTCCTTCCTCCTCCTTCAGTTTTCAAGGACAAAAATGTATTTAACTTGCCTTACTTTTCACACCAGATTTCTAAATTTAGATATTACTACTTTCTTTCCCCCTGAACTCTGACTGGCTTTGACTCCCTGGGGAGGCAGACAAGACCACTTCCTCCTCCACAGCTGGGAAAGCTGCTCCCAGAGGGATAGAAAGGGTGAAGGTTCTCAATCAAATGCTCAAAAAGATGCACCAAACATGGCACTGTCCTGTCGTGAAGGGTTAAAGAGATATATATTTATTTTGTTGGCAAGGTGAATGTTCACTGTCTTTCCTGGGCAGTGGGAAAGAGCGCTTCATTAAAGCAATATGAGTCCATTGGACCCAGATGGGGAAAGAGCATAATCCTCTCTGTTATGTGTGTGTGTTGGAGGTTATTGGCCCTACAGCCTGGAACTATTGAGGAAAAGCTGGGGAAAACATTACTATGGTGGACCTCGAGGTGTTACTACAAGGGCTAGATGAGAAGCATGGCTGAGCAGCTAACTTGTGGTGCCTCCTGTGCCGGTAAAGGTCTTAGGTTAGTTATTTGTTGTCACTTCTCAGAATTATACCTGCATTTTCCATACCTTTTACCCAAACAGCGGACAGCTGCCATAGCAACTGGCCATTCATTCATTCATTCATTCAAAGAGAGAAAAACGAAAAACAACAAAACAAACCCAACACAAAAAACCAAACCCAGCCAAAAAAACAGTAAAAGGTGAACTAGTTTCTCTTTCCAGTATTCATACAGCCACAGTTCTCCCTAGTGGAGGTCCAAGATACAGCAAGCCTTGCTTAGGCAGGCTCCAAGTTCAGTCTTGCTGCTGGCCCCATTAAGACTCAAGGGCCTCCCAGGGTCATGCATTGGACTTTCCTAAAGGAAAACAGACTCTAGTTCAAACCTTTAGAGACACTTGTCTCCCTCAAAACCTAGCAGAACTGAGCGGCCAGATTATGTTGGTGATCTGACTCACTGGTGTGGCATACAGATGGAAAGCTTCATAGTAATTCAGAAACTATTAATTTAGTCAAGCCTTTCATGGATATTCTGTCTAATGAATTCTCAGCATCTTTTAAATCTTTTATTTATGTACAGTCCCTTGAGTAGAAGGGGTAGAAGTCTAATAATTAAAAAGAAAACTGCACTGGTGAGTCTCAACTTTTAATATCTAACGAAAGGATTTAAAAAACCCATTAAAATATAGTCAGAAAAAAAAATAGTATTACCCTCTAGTTCTTCCTCATTAGGAGATAGATACTTTCAGGGCTACAGCAGTCTTATTTTCAGCACTACTCTATTGAGGGCTCTATTATTTGGGGGGCTAGCAGTGAGAGAAAAGAAAGCAGGGACCAGACCAATTTAAGAAGTACAAGTTGCAACAGCAAATTCTCATTTAAGTCAGCAGATCAATGAAAAATACTCAGATAACAGAAAAAAATGAATCTGAATGTTTAGTTAGATTCCCAGAAATACACAGTCTGGTGTATAAATCTAATCCTACATGCTGTCTTCATTGTATAATAGTAGGTTTCTCAACTACCTTGCAAAAGACTGTTATTCACATGGATTTAAACATTCTTTCAAAGACTTCAATACATGGGAAAGGAGAAAAGCTTTTGAAACTTCTTTTAACAATGCAGGTAGCTGTCACATTGATTTGTTTTGCTGTTGCAGCACAAAGTTGAAGGGATGGCGAATGCATAATTTATATACCAAACATATAAATTTTGTAGAAAATAATCTTGACTGTATCCCAAGTTCCAAACATATTCCTCCATTTCCTCTGCTGGATGGATGAACAATGGCAGATGAATACTCCACAGGAAAAAAATCTGACAAATTGGTTCGACAGGTCACAGTCCAAGTATAATTAAAAAGAACCTTTCTGGAAGTCTCCAAAATTGTAGAGATTTTCCCTTCCAGAGTCAACTACATAAAGAAATCCCAACAGCTTCCAACACTTTAAGGCATGCATTTTAGCTGCTATAAGCATTTTTTGACAACCTCTGAACACAACTCCCATGATTCAAAAGGAAAAGCCACATTAATACACTGTATGAAATATAGCAAGTTGTGTAAGAAAGTCTGTCATAAAAGAGGCATGCTGAGGCACGCTGGGATTCTCCTCATGTAAGAGAAACTTTGGTCTGTAATTCATGCTAGCTTGACTAGCATGGCATTCCCTTTGTTTGTTTTAATTAAGAAAAATCTATAGCTTCCAGATCCAGACCTAGGGAAACTCTCAGGCAGTTTGTCTTCAGGAGTCAGTATCCTATTGTGTAGTTTCAGAAGACATTTTCTAAAGCAGAGAAGTAAACTTCTCCAAAATTTCAGTGGAAACAACTCTTTCCCAGGGTTTGGTAAATGGGTTAGTAATTTTCCGCTTTTCCAAGACCACTGATCATTGCAGAGAACATGGGAGTGGGATGTAGGGGGGGAAGCTTCCTTTTACTTCTACACATCCTTTTTAAACACCTACTTTATTAGAGTTTCCCTCACCTTTTACAGGTATTTCCCACTTCCAAGGGCACAGAACTACACTTAGCGAGAGCTGGCAGCATAGCCGCTGCTCACCCATGCCACCTCCTGAGGCAGGCCTTGCAGCCACAGCGTCTGGATAGTTCTTCCCTCTTCCAGTCCCAGCTGCCTTGCCATTTGTATGTCTTGTTAACGCTAGCACTTCCAAAGCTAGCCATTTAATACAGACAAAAAAGCCTTAAGAAAAAGAGGGATTGAGAACGCGTAACTCCTGAAAGACATGACTAAAATAGAGTATTCATCTCAGCGACTGAGTAAAACACAACGCCTGTGCTTAACTGAAACTTTTTAATTAACCCCCCTGTGTTGTTCTCTTTGAAAGGACATGCCCAAGTCTGCTTTTGTACACTTAGGACAGTGCCTCTCTCTCCAATTACACAATGCATTAAACACAAATGAAATTATTTCGGTACATTACAAATAAAATACAATCTTTAAGAAGAACAAACAAGTCCAGGAACTTTTTTAAAACTTTTTTTTTTTTTGGGGGGGGGGGGTGGGGGGTGGGGGGTGGCTTAGAGCGTGTTTAAAGATGGTTACTCCCCACAGATAATTTACAAGCATAGTCGGAGGCTATCGGGACTGATTGCTCTGTCTAGGAAATTCCTAATTGGAGCCGTGCTGCAGGAATTCGCAGGGGTCCTGTCCTGCCGGCTCCTCCCTGGGGTTTCCTCTCGCCCCGCGCCGCCTCGCGCAGCCCCCGCGCCCCATCGCTCTTCCCTGCAGCCCACAGTGCCAGTGTTCCCCCCCCCCCCCGCGGCAGGAAGGCCCCGGCGAAGGCGGGAGGAGGAGCAGCTCCGCTCCACATGTCTGCCTGCTCTTATCAACTTATCCTATAAGGAAGGGAAGCGATCGATTCGGGCACCGAGGCCGTGACATCCTGGCACGGGCGAGGAGGAGCCAGGCTTACGGCTGGCGAGCCCGGCGGCCGGATCCCCCAGCAGCGAGGGGAGGAGGGGGCGGCGAAGACTTTTGCTTTCCGCATCTGACAGCTCGGGGCACGGCGGCCGGGAGAAGCCGGGACGTTTCCAGCTCGGAGGGTAGAAAAGCCCAGCCCTCCCCCTTGACGGCACATGGCAGCAGGGCGCTCGGTTTCAGCGCAGGTTAACTAGGTCCGTGCTCCCGTAGCGCCCCGCAGCACTAGGTTTGCTGGGCTACCGCAGGGATTAAAATGCAGCTGGCTCCTTACTTCTTTTGGGGCTGCAGTATTTTCTTAGCTTCAGGATACAACTCCTTTAGTAAGAGCATGGAGACGATGGGCAAGAAGCAGTACCAGGTCCAGCATGGGTCATGCAGCTATACCTTCCTTTTGCCTGAGACGGACAACTGCCGGTCTTCGACTTCTTATGTGTCCAATGCAGTGCAAAGGGATGCACCTTTAGACTATGATGATTCAGTTCAAAGACTGCAACTACTTGAAAACATCATGGAAAACAACACTCAGTGGCTAATGAAGGTAGGATAACACTACTTTTATCCTGTTACCTATTTCATTGTGTTTTTTTTTTTTTTCCCCCTGTTTCTACATTCACAAAATGCATTAGCTAAAATAAACTTCTGAACTACCTCAGTCAGAAAGTTTGAGAACATAGTTTTACTGACTAGAAGGGAAAAGAGGACTGCACTGCTCTGCAGAGCCTGTGCTTTAAAGTTTCTCATTACATTTGGGTTGCTTGGACAAACAGTAATTCCATAGGCAGGCTGCGAGCACGTCTGACATTTCTGACATGAAAGAACCACTACTAATTTATAATTAACTGATGAGGCCTATTTTATCTCTCTTTAAAGAAGACAGAATGCACCTTTATCAAAGGCATGTTTGAAGAATGTTATTTGAAACATGATTTCTAAACTGGCATGCAGAAATCAACATACTGGGTCCCACAGATAAAGAACTGTAATTCTAACTAAAGACTGCAAGTCTGACTTGCAGTGAAATGAGCCCAGTAAAGTGATGGAATTTCAAGAAAGTTCATTAGCGGATATCCTTTGCATCCTGTAACATTTCCACTCAAATACACAATATTGAAGGGAAAAATATTCTGGAAAAGGTGTTACAGATGCCACATAGCTCCCTTTAATGCAACTCTATTGCAACTAAGGGAAAATGACATGTTTATTGCCAAAGTGGAAACATTTGTAAAACTATGTCTGAAACAGTAGAAAAAAAATTTATACTGCATACATTGTTACTATTACTGGAGAATAAACCTGATCACTATTCCACATTTTATAGATAGCACTTTGATTCTAAATGCTATATGGTTCAATAGGTTTTAAGAAACCTTTGTTTCACTGATACCTGAGAAAGCTTGAAAATATAGCTTAATGGCATGGTAAATTTATGAGTGTTTATGTTTCATACCAATATGCTCATCTTCTAAGCAATAACTATTTTGAGGACTTAACTGGGTGGTTGGCATAGTACCTCCAAATAAGTGCTCCAGTGATGTCATAAGGGCTTTTTCATAAAGAAAAATATATTTGTTGCTAATGGAGAGAATTTGCAATTCTCTGCAACCACTAGCCACTTTTTACAGACTATAAAATGATTTTGCGTTAGGGTTCACCTCTCTCATGAGTTACAAAGTTACAGAACTAGCAAGACATAACCAAAGAAACCTGCTGGCGAATTTGTGTAAGAAACACAAGTCGCACTGTAAAGCAGAAAGCACAGGGTTTTCATCCACCTGAAGATGAATCTTGAAGCTTAAATCCAAAAGGCATACACTTGAAGGCTGAAGTGTGACCTGTATTTATGGGTTTAGGATGCTTAATTTAGACACCCAAAAAATGACAGATCAGTGGCTTTTGTTTTTTTTTAATCTCACAGGCAAACATACTTCCTTCCACATACTTACTTACCTTTCTACTTATCAATTTACAATGCTCACCGTTGTAATGTTAAGACCAACATTAACAGATGTGTAATGCAGGATGAAAACCACACAAAGTAAAGCCGTCTAATCTACACAGCTGCTAAGCAATTTCCTAATATAAATAATGAAATCACACACAAGACTCCAGTGCTAAATGCCTCTTAAGTAGACAAACACAGTATCATAAGTGGCATCAGGTAAACAGAAACCAGTAAGCAAATTCCAGCATCCTTATTTAGTAAAAGCTATGCCTTTTCCTGTCAGTCCCTGGGAAATCAGTTACAAGAGGAATAGGATAACTATATCTAATCCATTCTTTGGGCAATCAAAAGGCATGATTCTGTTTTACTAGACAGAGAAATGTTTCTTTTATTTGAGCAAAGATTTCCAAAGAAGACATTTTAGAATAGCCTGTTTTGTTTTGTTTTTTTTTTCCCCTTGCTCTTTCTTCCACAGCTAAACATCCTGTGAAATAACTGCTGTTTGCCTTTTTCACTATTTTAACACCTGCTCTTTATGTCATCTGTTTTGTTCACAAAGAGACTCCAACAAAAGTAGCTTTTCCTCAGATTTGCTTTGCTAGAGACACCTGGTCTGCAAATGAAGATGAAAAGCAAACAATAACCTTTAAAGTTGCTTACAGAGTTTACTTGCTGTTTTTTTAAGGTCACTAATACACATTCCTAGGTTCGTATTTCAGCTATGATACTGGGTTAGTCAAGGCAGAGCAAAAAAGTCCGTTTACTTAGTTTTCATACTGTGTCAAAGGTGTAATATGTTTGATTTTAAAAATGAGATTAATTTCTCAGCAACTGCACAAAAAACTGCTTTAGGTTTTTCTTCTTTTAAAAGTTAGTTTTTGCTGATTTAAGAGGCAGCACCTCTTTTCTTTTGAAATTGTGTAAAAAAAGAAAATTACTAACTTTTAGTGTAAATTAACCTTGAAAAGTTGTTCCTGAAGTCCTGCACATCTCCAAACATTTTTACACTCCTCCCCCTCTCCTGCCTTTAATTCGTCAGCTGGAGGAAACATTCTGTTTCTGAATGAACACTAGGCTGTATGAATGGAACAGCATGGGAAGTGTGCACTTCAGCTGGTTAATGGGCAAACACAATGGGAAGAGAATGAGTTACATAGGTCCAGGTTCTCTTCTCGTCTGCTCCTGTACAGAGAGCAGAGGACTTTGTTCTACTATTGCCACAACGTGCTGCTTCATGAAAACACATTTTTTTGGTCTGGACTGTATTAATGCCTTATGCCAATACTGTATGCACCACACCTAAAACTGGAGAATGCCTTTTCAAAAGTAGGTTATATATAAAAGTATTCAGACGGAATACTAGAACAAACCACTGTTCCACCTAATCCAGTGTTTAGCAGTAAGCCAGTAAGTGATGGTGTAGAGCAAAAGCCAAAACCTTAGATCAAGTGTGCAGCAATATACCTGAAATTAACCTGAAATTCTTTGACTTTCCCTACCTTGGGATCAATTTGTATATTGAATTGTAAGATTTTTTTCTAATGTGTGTCTATGCATGAAGAATAAGCCTCTCAGTAATAAGATTTTCAGTTATTTTGAGAGGATAGCAGATTCGTATACAGCTGAGATACAAGACTGGAAATTATAAATGTAGATGGATGTTGGCTATTATACTTCGGATTTCTTTTTTTAATATAAAAAACAACATCAGGTTTTCAGATATTCCCAGAAGACAGGCAAGTCCCTTAAGTTCCACAATTAAACAAATATCTCTTTGAATTAATGGCAGCTTTACCATTTGGATCATGGCAGCTCTGCTCAAGGAACTGCATTTTGTCAGGTATTAAGACATCGAAATAACTGAATGCTGACTTGAATTTAATTCTTAGTACATAAACTAGATTCTGACTCAGGAAATATGACTCTGTCCAAAGTAATAGTGTAAAACAAAGAGGTCATATTTTCTTCATCTTTCCTGTTACAAACAGCTGAAAACAATGTGTGATTCAAATTGATTATAGCATACAGAATATAGGTAATTTATTTGTAGTTTATCAGCAGATCAAAAGACTAGAAAATAAAAGTCTGCGCTAGGAGTCAACATTTAAACCTGAGAACTTCATCCTGAAAGCAGACTAGGAGAGGGGATACTTTGCTGATAGGGATGCAGTATGTTTGGATACTCTCAGAATTGAGACTTGTTTTCCTATCCTGGAAGCTAAAAACCCTTTATCACTTTGAAATGTGTTTCTTCCCTAAGCACAACAAAATCAGATATTTTAAGATGTATGGGAATGAATGCTTATAATTTTTGATGAGCAATTACCAATGAAAGCTTATAATTATTGTCATACTTGTACTGAACTTTGTATCTCAAATATGACAAGATATTCTGACATGCTGTCATCCAAAAACATCTGCACACAATGGGCAAGGACAAATATATTGTACAGTGCTGGATTTTGAAATACGCAAGAGATGATTCTGACTCAAGCTGCATTCCTTTCTTAAGTAATGCATCTGTTTTTACTTATTGTGAAAAGTGCTTGTTTCTGTCTATCAATCAACTATGTATTTGCTAAGCAAAAGAGTACTGGCAGAGTAAAAAAGAAAATACTTTTTTACTTTGAGATTAGTACATGTTACTGCATAAGATTTCCACAGTACTTTAAATGATATGACTATGCAGTTTATTGTTATATCTCCTGTAGGTAAATTTCTGTGAAAGGATTTGAACTGACACTTTTGCATGTGTTTAAAAACTATGTTGTAAAGACTATTTCTGCATCATTCCACAAATACCAGATTGGTGATACAGGTATGGAACAGGTACAGGTATGAAACAGAAACAACAAAGAAGACTGGAGATTTTCTTGTACAGACCTACAAGACAAAATCAAAATTGAGAGCTTGCCATCTTCAAGGTGTTATCAGTAAAAAACATGATAAACAAAGGCTTGTTTTACCAAATCAGTCTCTTACCAGCATTCAAGATATAGTTTCATGTGCTTTGTTTGTTATTAACATGATCATAATCTTATCATCTTTGATCGGTTTAAACAGCAAATTGGGAGACTTTCTCCATTAATTATTGCCATCAAGTGCTTTATTTTCTTCTTTTTTCCCTTTCTTTAAGTGCACATGTAGGAAATGAGTCTGGAGATGCTTGAATTGACAGTTTCCAGTCCTCCTTATTCGTATGCCCACTTACTATATAAAAGTAAACCACATAACCTTTAGAATGTCTTAGAAGATTTTGCAGAGAGGCTGGGGTTTGGAATGGTGTTTCTTTTATACACAATGATCTTATTACTGCTCCTTTTTTTTTTTTGTTAATTATGAAATAATTCAATAAAATGCATCTCCCCATAACTTAGCAGGGAAACAGCTGATACCATTTTCTTGATTCCTAATCACAAGGTGTGACCACACATGTATTGCTTAGAATAGAACTTTGCTTGGAAGATATAGATACCCATTTCCTCCCTTCAAAATGTGCTATCTAGTATCTCCAGTGACTGAATTATACTGTCCCGTTCATACTACCATATTTGTGTTTTTGAAAATGTGCCACATTATATATGATTTGATTTACA